CTTTTTTTTTTGTAAATCAAAACATAGCTACAGCACGAATCAGGATATCAAAAGAATGATTCCATTTGAGTAAACCAAAACATTTCACTCACTGAACTCACTGTTTGGCTCGAAAAAAAAAGTTACTGTAGCATGTTGTACTTAAGACTAGTGTTAATGATTGGTTCATATGACAACAAAGTGTAAATACACATTATTATTCAATAGGCATACATCATTAATCAGTATTTTATGAAAAATGTTTCAATTTTGTTCCAATATTTTTAATTAGTGTATAGTTAGTGTCTGTAATTGCACTGCATTTATACCACCTCTCAAAAGTACACACATTTTGGTGCATAATAGCATTTTTGGTGCATAAGTGCGCTAGGTGACATGGAACATGCCTACTTAGTGCAGTCTAGATAGGGAGCTCACTAGATTTTAAGGCAGCTTATATGTTAAATCAAAGCAAACTGTAACCTTTCTTGTTCTTGCTGTATAGGATATATATAACCCATAATAATAATTGGCACTAGCCTTTTATAGGACATTTTTGACAACACACTTCTTTCTGCAAAAGTAGGCCAATGAGTTTGTGAACCACACATTAATGAAAAAAGAAATGCATTCAATTCAATTGGAATTACATTTTAACAAGTAACTGAAACATTGTATATGAACCATGTCAGTTCATGTCATCACTGTGGAAAATGCATCAGAGAGATGATGTAATGAATATACTGAATGCATGTTTTGAATCAGATCAATCTTTTACAGCCTGTAAACACAGGTAGGCTGAAATAATGAAAGCCATATGCAGCAGGAGTTTGAAATCTGTTGTTTCTAGAAATATTTGCAGCATTTGAACACAGCGTGGGTTAGTTGAAGACTGTTCGATATTGTCTTTGTGATCCACCTACTCTCACACAAGTGAGCGGTGAGCCGTGGTTGTTGAAAGCAACAGTGATTTCATAATCTCAGGTCTCCTAAAGGGTTAATGAGCAGCAGAGAAAGTGGGTTAAAACATGTTGTGAGTGGCTGATGTCAGTAACAGACAGAAGCCAAGGGTAAATAAGGCTATGAAAGCACCTCTAGGGCACATTGGTGAAATAACA